CTTGGCAACCAGCGGCAATGGCTCACGGAAGCATCAGTGGGAAACGAACCTAACAATCGGACTGCGTAACACCGTTCTAATACTTCTAGTATGAGGGAGATGCGATGGACTAAACCATGCAAATAACGCAATGTGAATTTATTGTTTTGGTGGGTTGGGAGATGTTGGTAAGACCACATGATGGATAGGTAAAGATTCGCCGTCGATGCATATTCGTTCATTTCTTCCCGGCCATGCTGTCCACGCGAAGCTGCTGGAATGAAAAAGGCCTTGTGGGTTCCACATGCATTTGCCATGCGCCACGAGTATAGCGATACACCCAATATTGGTCAAGTGGCACTGGACCCATGCACAGGGCTAATAGCTAAAGCCCATGGTTGAAACAACATGCCGAACACATTGTGCCAAGAAGGGGTTGGAAAACGATTTTGCATTGCAACAGCTGTAGGCATTGTTCCCCACAACTTTGTGTGGGGTTCTTGTTTTTGATTCTGTATCCCGGGTGCTCCGCCTCCCGCCCGCTCCGCCTCCCGCCGCCCGCCTGTCAACCGTCATCTTTCACACACCCTCATTCACACACCATCTTTCACACACCATCTTTCACACACAATCTCTCACACACCATCTTTCACACACCATCTTTCACACACTATCTTTCACACACCATCTCTCACACACCATCTCTCACACACCATCTTTGTCAACCATCTTTGTCAACCATCTTTGTCAACCATCTTTGTCAACCACCATCTTTCACACACCATCTTTCACACACCATCTCTCACACACCATCTTTCACACACCATCTTTCACACACTACCCCTCACACACCATCTTTCACACACCATCTTTCACACACCATCTCTCACACACCATCTTTGCCAACCATCTTTCACACACCATCTTTCACACACCATCTTTCACACACTATCTTTCACACACCATCTCTCACACACCATCTTTGTCAACGATCTTTGTCAACCATCTTTCACACACCATCTTTCACACACTATCTTTCACACACCATCTCTCACACACCATCTTTCACACACCATCTTTCACACACCATCTTTCACACACCATCTTTGTCAACCATCTTTGTCAACCACCATCTTTCACACACCATCTTTCACCATCTCTCACAGGCGTGGCACGTGGCGACTGCGACATCCACCTTGGTTTCACGTGGCAGGCGTGGCACTTGGTGACATCCACCTTCGTTTTGCATGGCAGGCGTGGCACTCGGCGACATCCACCTGCCATTTGTGTGGCAGGCGAGGCACTTGGTGACATCCACCTTCGTTTTGCGTGGCAGGCGTGGCACTTATGGCACTACGTGGCGGCTTGGTCGCCGGTGACGCCGCGGCACTTTGCGTGGCAGGCGTGGCACTTATGGCCATCTACCTTCGTTTTGCATGGCAGGCGTGGCGCTTGGAGACATTCACCTTCATTTTGCGTGGCAAGCAAGGCACTTATGGCACTGCGTGGCGCGCTTGGACGGCTTGGTCGCCGGTGACGCTGCGGCACTTTGCGTGGCAGGCGTGGCCCTCGGCGACATCCACCTTCGTTTTGCGTGGTATGGTGTGGCACTTGGTGACAGCCACCTTCGCTGTGCGTGGTAGGCGTGGCACTTGGCGACATCCTCCTTCGTTTCATGTGGCAGGTGTGGCACTTGGTGACATCCACCTTCGTTTTGCGTGGCAAGCGTGGCACTTATGGCACTGCGTGGCGCGCTTGGACGGCTTGGTCGCCGGTGACGCCGCGGCATTTTGCGTGGCAGGCGTGGCACTTATGGCCATCCACCTTCGTTTCACGTGGCAGGCGTGGCACTTGGTGACATCCACCTTCGTTTTGCGTGGTAGGCGTGGCACTTGTCGACATCCACCTTCGCTTTGCGTGGCAGGCGTGGCGCTTATAGCACTGCGTGGCGCGCTTGGACGGCTTGGTCGCCGGTGACGCCGCGGCACTGTGCGTGGCAGGCGTGGCACTCATGGCCATCTACCTTCGCTTTGCGTGGCAGGCGTGGCACTTGGTGACAGCCACCTTCGCTTTGCGTGGCAGGCGTGGCACTTGGCGACATCCTCCTTCGTTTCACGTGGCAGGCGTGGCACTTGGTGACATCCACCTTCGTTTTGCGTGGCAGGCGTGGCACTTATGGCCCGCTTGGATGGCTTGGTCGCCGGTGACGCCGCGGCATTTTGCGTGGCAGGCGTGGCACTTGGTGACATCCACCTTCGTTTTGCGTGGTAGGCGTGGCACTTGTCGACATCCACCTTCTGCGCAGCTTTTCCGAAAGCCAAAATGCGGCCTTGAGCCACGAAGTGAAACATTCTAATTTCCTCAAGGTAAATGCCACATGCTCATGGTTGCTACTGAATGCAAATGTTTGGCACTCCTCCTTTACATTGTGAGCATTGATCAGAATGTAACCTAAATTCAAAAGACATGTTGGATGTCCAAGTTTAAGGATCCAACTCGTGCATACACTCTATGGATGTCGCACTGTTGTGCACACCATTCGGCCAACCTATTGTAGCCGTCGCCAATGGCTTTTGCCTGGCGTTTTCCATATTCATAGATCTTCATGTAGGCACTCAGCTGTGCTCGATCATGAGAGCTTGTCCAATCTATAGCGGGCCACTCTAAGTACTCCTCCGTCATGAATTGGCTCGCGATATCTCGCGATTGTGTCGTTTGTGCCACTATGGAAAGACTGCGATCTTTCCAACTCGCTCTCAGATTCTTCTCCTTCTGCATGTTCTCCATCGATCTCTTCTGTTTCTCCTCCAGCTTGCTCTGGTTCACCTTCAAAGGCTTCTGGAAGAGTGTCACGTCTCTCTTCCCTGACGTTCTCAAGCCATTCTTCCTCTCCAAGTTCTTCAGGTCGTTGTGGTGGCTCCTCAGTCTCGTCATCATCTCGAGACCTTGAGCCATGTCGTGGAGTGTTTTGTCTCCTCCTCCTGTGCACATACTTGCGCAACTCCTCAAGATCACGACGACACTTTCTGAAGTCAACAGTCTTGTTGTTGCGCTCCACATAGTGCCAGTTGTCCCAATCCTGCTCTGTGATGGGATCATTGATGTTCACATAGCCACCCATGCGAATGATTGCCACGTTCATCGCAGTGATGTGCATGTGATGCATATGTATCTCATTTTCCTGAAGACCTTGTTGTTCTCGAAGCTCTGCTCGAAGGTGTGCAAGCTGTCCACGTAGATCTCGAATGATCTTGTGCAAGTAGTAGAAAACTGCAATTACCACAAAGAAGATGAGCACGACAGTGATGTAAGATGCATGTCCAACTTCGCTCCTTGTAGACTTATAGACCTCCACAGTCTCGAGATCCAGGCGAAATGGGACCAACTCACCGCTAGCCTGCTCAAGGCCACCAATCAAAACCACTTGTTGAATCAGTTTTGCAATCCTCATCACGCTCGTCTTGTTGTAGTGGGTCCCTTTGGCCTTTGCAGCTTCTTCTTCTCCAACTGGAACTCCTTCTTTTGTAAAGACATTACACCAGCACATGAGAGCATAGAGACGTCCTTTGCCTAATGGTTTCGTGCCAATGTCTCCGATGTTCAGCAAAGTGCTGATCTGCTTCACCTCCAAGACCTTCATGCTGACTTGGTCCTGGATCCAAAGTAGTTTTCCTGAAACATGTCTCAGCTTCCCTGTGCCACGTTTGTTGGAGATCTGCTTGGTCGCTGAATTGTCGATGAGGCACACATGTTGAATCTCCTCCTCCTCCAATAGAAACTGCAAGTAGATCCTCAGCGCAATGCCATCAGCTGCTCCTCCAACAAGTCCATGAAGCTCAGCTTCGGCACTTGAAAGGCTCACCACACGCTGCCCTCGGCTGCTGTGGTAGACCACGATGCCATTCAAGCAATGAACTGCACTGCTCGTGCTTCTCCTTGTTTTTCGATCTCCCGACCAATCTGAGTCGGTGAAGGTCTCCAAGATCCATTTCGAATCATAGTGGTGATGAACTCCTTGTCCATGACTGGGAGCTTTCAGACGGTTGTAGTGACCACGGGTGTTCTTGAGGTACCCGATTAGCTTTCTCATCACCTGCAAATGACCTCTCGCTGGATTGCTCATACCACTTGCCAGCTGCTTGATGATGAACCCAATCTCAATGCGCTCTTGGGACAGGTAAATGCCAAATCCAACCAGTGATCGATACAACTTGGCCTCTTCGTCAGCAAAGCGTCTCTCTACCCCGCTCAGTTTGGGAAGCAGTCGACCATCTTGTTTCTGCGGGATGATCTTGCGCTTCGTCGGAACGATTCTGCCACCAAAGTTGGTCTGGTACACGAAGCTGTGGGTTTGCAAGCCACTATAGTAGGCAAGGAAGTTGGTCCAAGGGCGATCTACCCTTCGAATGCTGCGACTCAGCATGACATCAACTCCATCTCCAATGATCCATGCATCCTGGTTCTCGGTTTTGCCCATGCAATACCCATAGACCGGTTCACCAAATCGTGCAACTTTTCCATCATATCTTTTGCCTTGAGTCACCTCGTGGGCTGTGAGGGATCTGCCAACTTGGTAACGATTGAGGCACCAAGCTGCATGTCTACCAGCCCAAGACCATAGTGGGTGTTCACAAGGGTAACTCAGGCCTGTTTTCTGAGCCACATCCTCCACCAAAGTACAAGCAAGCTGCCTGATGCGCTGGATGCTGTTCTCAGCCAATGAGTTCCCAGCTGAATCTTTCACCTTGGTAGTGAAGATTCGGGTCTTCAATCGAAGCGCATGCCTCGAAGTGATGATAGTTTTCAAAATTTGTCTGATGGTCGGCTCATGGTCGCCGTAGAAACCATTTCATTTCGTTTCATTTCATTTCATTTCATGTCTTGCGCCCTGCGTGCCCGTAATGGCACCTCGGCGCAAAGTTCTTTGTAATTTACAGAGCTAGTTTGGTGAGAAGGGTGTGTGAAAATAAGCAGAAAGCCAGAATCAAAAGGGCAACGGGACAAGGATGGCAAACATCAAGATCTTCAGTTCAAAATCTCCACATCATCATCGGAACCGTCGGAAATAACAATAGCAGGAAGTGCTGGCATATTTCTCTGCTGTCTCCTCAAACGCTTGCGGAAATACTTCTCAGCAGCTTTGGTCACTGACTTCAGCAATATGTTTTTCATACATTCCTTCCATACCCAAGGCTCTGCACAAAGCTCAGCACTTCGTGGGTCATGTACTTGATCTGACCTTTGCCTTGGATTGGAACCACTCCAAGATAGCCAGTCTGGCTACATGTCAACACCAGCCAAAGAGCTCCTTTGTCGTCAGGTGCTCTCTCTGGTTGTGGGTCCAAGCCATCCCTCTTCTTCGTCATACAGAAGTCCATAGAGATGATGGGGATGCTTGTGTTGTGAGCTTCTCCAGTTCGTCGATGTGGATCAGGTCGTGCTCGATGTTTCAAACATGCTGTGCACCAGGGCTCGTAAGGGGTATGGGTCAGCTCGTGCAACTCCTGTTGTTTCGGGTCTGGAGGCTTCACCAAAGTTTGAGCATTGGGATGCCTCTCAACAACTCCTTGAGTCTGGGCAATTGCTACCTGTGCGGGAAAGCAGCTCAAGTGTCTTCTGGTGCTGACACAACCTCCTGTAGCATGTCGCTTTGCTCCCTGATCGGCTCACACCATAGAAGCCATATGCTGCCCTCAAAGTTGCCAAACTGCTAGCTACAGTCAGCACGTTGCCATCAACCTCGATCTGATGTGGCAGCACTTCTCCAACCACGATTTCTCCTTCTTGTGGAACTTGTAGTTGAAGTTGTTCTGCATCTCCAACTCTTGGAACTTCTCCATTACCTGCTGGAACGTCAGGAGGTAGCTCCAGCTCCTGTTGTTCCAACTGCACATCCTCGGGGGTGTCGAGCATTGGCTGGATTTCTCCTTCAAGAGCTTCCAGCATAGCTCGTTCTTCACCTGGTTCGACACCAAAGCCCATAGCTTCCAGAACAGCAGCTTGATCGTTCGAGGACATGTTCGAACGATTGGAGGGCAGCCTCAAGCGATTCGAGCTTTGAAGGCAGACCTCACTCCAGGATTGCAAGCCTACGTGGACAATGCCTTTGGATGGCATCGAGATGGAACACGCTGGGTTGGGAGTTGACCTGAGCGACAAGTACCAGGATCTCCCCTTCATCTCTGGCATTGACTACACGGTGGAGTGGCTGAGAACGACTCTGCACATTCTTGACCGATGGTTTTGAAGATGTGGAAGTCCAACAAATCTCGTAGGCTCCATTGCGAAGACTTCTGGTTTGAGCACACATGCTCCATCCTGCATTCATCAGCCTTCCAAAGCTCAAAATGGGCTGGCTGATCTCATCCGAAAAGACCACATTGTCTCTCACTTCTATCTCCACTCCATTCTTGTCCTCCAAGACTACTGCGGCCGATCGCTGTCCAAGTAGTGGAATTGCCCTGCCTTGAGCATCTTGCAATGCCACTTGCTGACCATCACATTGCCTTCCGCAGTGGATCATGCTCGATGGAAAGACCGGTGCATCAGCCCCAGAGTCAATGATGATGTCAACCTCATTGGTGTCGATCTCATAACGCTCGTTGGTCTCACCACCAAATGTAGTGCTCCTGATTGACATAGGCTTGTACTCCTCATTGTCAATGTAGAAGAATTTCACCATCCTGCAATGACACCAGCTTGAAATCGAACTTGATCTCATGTCGAAAACCACTGGATCATGTTCTCCAGCTGAAAATGCCACTCGCTTGACTGCTGTGGCTGCCTGTGAAACTGATGGGCCAACACTCTCCTGCCCAGTCACTGAAGACAAGACAGTGCTTGAAGCCTCAAGGTTTCCAACTTGTCGCACTCGCCAACAGTCTTTGGCCATGTGCCCAACTCTACCGCACTTAAAGCAAGTCACACCATCTTTTGACTTGCTCTTGCCTTTGCCCTTGTCGTTCTGATCTCCACCTTTTCCACTTTTCGAAGTTGTGCTCCACGAAGTTGTTGACGTAGAGTTCCATTGGTTTTGCTTACCATATGTTTTGCCCTTGCCCTTCTGCTCTTTGCCTTTCGCCTTCCCTTTTCCCTCTTTGCTTTTACCTTTTCCTTTCCCAGCAGCTTTGCCTCCCTTAACTCTGTCAATCTCCATGGGCGCCAAACCAGTGGCATCTGCAGCAGTTTGAGGTGAGTACGGAGAGCTGCTCACGCTACCTGTCCACTTTGTAGTGGCTGTGTTATGTCATAGGCCTTGATGACCTCTCGAATTTGTGCATAGGTGCTGGACTCGTTGAGACTGAGATTCAAGTGGATTTTCAGGGGTGCGCTCACACATTTGAGCACCACAGCTGACTTCATCTCATCAGTCAGCTTTCCACCCATTTTCTCAAACTGGACGAAGTGCTCCTCAAGTCTCACCAACTGCGACATGATGGAGTTCTTCATCACGAAGTTGGGGTAGGACATGATGCTCTGCAACATCGACATCGTGCGGTTTCTTGCACGAGGTTGGCAATTCTCCAACAATTGCCTCAGAGTTTCTCAAGTCCATTAGATATATCCACATTTCTCACAAGACTGAGAAGACGTCCTTGCAAGAGTGAACTCAGCAGGCTTTAAAGGAATCGACCTCTATGTCTTTCCTCATCCTCCAGCAAGTCTATGTCGACCTCAGTCGCATTGATTCTTTCCACATAGGCGATGTCATCCCCGAACTTGTTGTCGATGACAGTCAGGTACTGTTTCAGACTCCAGTACCAATCTCTCCATTGCGCCACTTCTTGTTCTCGGTCTCCTGGAGCAAACATCGCAGGTTTTGGAATGAGTTTGTAGAGCTCCTTCTTTCTATCTGGTGCACTTCCCTGTGAAGCACCAGTGGCAGCCTTTGCCGCCTCAGCTGCAGCCGTCGCAGCTGTTGCCACCATTCGCATGAGTTCTGCCATTTCAGTTTGAACTCCTTGAAGCTGTTGTTGGGGAAGTCCAGCAGGAGCATCAGGCATAGGTACACCTTGGCTTTGTCCATTTGGTGATCCATACGGGGATCCTTGGGGAGATCCTGCAGCCAGATTCGCATCTGAAGTACTCATGTTCACCTCGTTCAGGTCGAAGGTGTAGTGATGGATGCAAAGCAAGGGTTCTTCTCCTTCTCCTGGATCGTTGTTGCCAAGATCTCAAGGGCCTCGTTAAAGTCCACCGTCGTATGGCTGGACAACCCTTGAGCTCTCAAAGCTCCGCTGCCATGCGCAGCCCAGCTTTTCTGAAAAGTGAAACACGCTAATTTCGTCAAGGTAAATGCCACATGCTCATGATTGCTACTGAGTGCAAATGTTTGGCACCTTCGCTTTGCGTGCAGGCGTGGCACGACTTATATGGCACTGCGTGGCACGCTTGGACGGCTTGGTCGCCGGTGACGCCGCGGCACTTTGCGTGGCAGCGTGGCACTTATGGCCATCTACCTTCGCTTTGCGTGGCCGGGGTGGCACTTATATGGCACTGCGTGGCACGCTTGGACGGCTTGGTCGCCGGTGACGCCGCGGCACTTTGCGTGGCAGGCGTGGCGCTTGGTGACAGCCACCTTCGTTTTGCTTGGTAAGCGTGGCACTTGGTGACAGCCATCTTCGCTTTGCGTGGCAGGCGTGGCACTTGGCGACATCCTCCTTCGTTTCACCACGTAGCAGGTGTGGCACTTGGTGACATCCAGCTTCGTTTTGCGTGGCACTTATGGCACTGCGTGGCGCGCTTGGACGGCTTGGTCGCCGGTGACGCCGCGGCATTTTGCGTGGCAGGCGTGGCACTTATGGCCATCTACCTTCGTTTTGCGTGGCAGGCGTGGCATGGTGGCGCAACCTTGTTCCTGTCAGGTGGCCGGCGTGGCGCTTGGTCACATGCATCTTCGTTTGCCGTGGCCGGTGTGGCAGTTATGACCGGCAGAAAATCACGTTTGCGTCGCTTTGGCCCCAAGCAGAAACGACCGGAACAGAAAATCACGCGGTCATCAGCCATGCAACACGCGGGGCATTTTTTCTTCCAGCACGTTTAGCTGCATGATGATAGTCTACGCACAACAAGCCTGACTTGGAAATAAATACATCCATAACACATGCCTATGCAAAACAAACAGAACATAGTTAAACATGCCAGCAAATCAAACATGCCGAGACAGGTCGAAAGAATAAACATGCTGGAGGCGCGGGTCGTTTTGGCCCAACGTGGAAAGAAGCGACCGGAGCAGATTTTTTTGTTTTTTTGATTTGCTGGCATGTTTAATTGGGCATGTATTGTCTTCCGGCATGTTTACCTACTTGCGTCTTCGCCATGTTTTATGTTCCGGCACGTTTATTCCTTCGGCATGTTTTGGCATGTTTGATTTTCTGGCATGTTTACCTACTTTCTTCTTTCGGCTTTCATTTCTATTCACATTTGCGGCCAGGTGCTTCTCGTATTCTTTGTGGTCGCTACGACAGGCAGGCCCGAACTGCTCTTGAGCAGCGCTGTGTAGCGCAGACGTGGCAACGCGGTGAAGCTTTTGGCGTGCAGACTCTCATCATGTCGCTTTGGCCCAACAAGGAATTGCGGACAACAACTGTAGCATGCACAGTGAATCAGGAACGCAGTCATCAGATCATCTATTGCTGCTCTGGTCGCTATGTTTTATGTTCCGGCACGTTTATTTTTTCGGGCTGTTTCGGTTTGTTTCATTTGCTGGCATGTTTAATTGGGCATGTTTTGTCTTCTGGCATGTTTACCTACCTGCGTCTTCGCCGTGTTTTATGTTCCGGCACGTTTATTCCTTCGGCATGTTTTGCCATGTTTGATTTTCTGGCATGTTTACCTGCTTTCTTCTTTCGCCTTTCATTTCTATTCACATTTGCGGCCAGGTGCTTCTCGTATTCTTTGTGGTCGCTACGACAGGCAGGCCTGAACTGCTCTTGAGCAGCGCTGTGTAGCGCAGACGTGGCAACGCGGTGAAGCTTTTGGCGTGCAGACTCTCATCATGTCGCTTTGGCCCAACAAGGAATTGCGGACAACAACTGTAGCATGCACAGTGATTCAAGAACGCAGTCATCAGATCATCTATTGCTGCTCTGGTCGCTTTGGCCCAACGTGGAAAGAAGCGACCGGTGCAGAAAATCAGGCGGTCAGCAGTTGATGTATTAGTTGATATATTTCTGCTTTGGTGGCCTTGGCCCAACGTGGAAAGAGCCCACCGAAGCAGCAAGTGCAGAGGATTGTTATCTCATAGTCTGTCAAGTTAGATTTGTTATTTGCGCACGTTCTGTGACGCTATGGCGGTGCAGAAACTTGCTCATGGTTGGCGAGCGCGCCGCAAGAAGGACGGCAAGACGTTCAACGGACCGCTACGCGCTACTGAAATGGCCGCAAACGAAGATGCGCGGCAAAAGGAGGAAGCAGCCAGTGAACGCTTGCAAGAAGTTTTTGATCGACTATCGGGCTCGCTTTCTGTTCCGGCCGTGACCCATTATGGTTCTAATTGGCGTGCCCGATTGAAAGTAAGCTACGAAATTGTATGTGGTCCGACACGGCAGTCCAAAGCGGCTGCCGAAGAGGACGCGCGCTTACTGCAGCAAGCGCAACAAATTTCCACGGCAGAGGTGCAGAGCGTGGTCCAGCGGTTGCAGCAGGATGCGCGTGCTGTGTTGCCTGTCACCAAAAATGGTTCAGGGTGGCGCGCCCGTGTGCAGGTTGCGGAGACACAAGTTAATGGTCCTACTAAGACTAGGCGGTCCAAGGCTGGTGTTGAAGTCGATGCGACTCAACTGCAGGCTGCTGCAGATCTCTGCCAAAGAGCTACAGTCTGTTGCTCAGCGGCTGCAGCAGGAAGCTGTTGATGTAGTCGCAAGGACTAGCCGAGAAGCGAGGTTTGATGAAGTCATTGTGGCGGAGATGCGTGATGCACGGGGTTTGCAGCGACAGCAGAAGCGCCTGAGACTGCGTGCGAGAAATGCCGCAGATGATTTCGACACGGAAGTGGTTTCGAATGGTTTCGAAGAGCGTGCAGCTTTTGGTGTCAGCATTTCAAGATGCGTTAGCGCCGCTCAGCAAAGGCGCGTGGATGGTGGAATTGGGCTTTCACACCAGACTGGATTATGGCTCTCGGCCTGCATGGACAAGTGGCTTGGAGCGCGGCACGGCCATTGCTGGCCTGAAGAATTTAGGGAACAGCTGCTGGCTCAATGCCGTGCTGCAATGTTTTCGGTGGACCCGCCCGCTGCACAATGCTTTCACTGCTCGGTTGATGGAATGTGAAGAATCGATTCTGGGAGCGTTGGTCCAAGATGTCCTAGAGAAACTTGCAAGCAACGACTGGGATTACGTTGCTCCACTTGCTTTACTGAATCAACTTTATGCGACTTATGAAGCAAGATTTCGACCTGGTGAAAGCGCAAATGCAGCAGAAGTTTGTCGTTTGCTGTTGGAACGGTGTATCTACGGAAGTGATATTGTACATTTGCTGTCTACATCGATTGCAATGGCCCGGCGCGGCGTCACTCTCACGGAACTGACCCGTGAGCATTTTGCTGCATGCCGGCCGAGCAGTGATGTTCTCATTTTCGAAGTGGCGCCCGTCGATGGCGGCCGGGTAAACTGGTCGCAGTTGTTGGTGGCGCCGCCCTTTGGTGAGGCGCTGGCTACGAAGCGGTTTTGTTCAGTTTTGTGCTATTAATGTTTATGTTTGTTTGTGTTCGTCACATGACCGCATTCATGTCGTGTGTCGCTCTTGGGTTGTGCTTTCGTCAGGGCAACAACTACCTCTACACAGTTTCCGGCTTTGTGGCGCGTGTATCTGGAGATCATTTTGTGGCGTATGTTCGCTCGCAGAATCAATGGCTACTATGCAATGATGCAACGGTCAGCGTCGTCTCTGTTCTGGGACCTGTTGGGCCTTGTCTGATTGTTTTGGAGAGATTACGCTGGCAGCAGTTTGCGCGGCCTGCGCGCCAAGCCTCCTGCGGGCAGCGACTGCCTCTGTCGCTTGCCGCGGTTGTTGCAGGAAACTGTCGCGCCTGTGGCTGATGCTCCTGTGGTGCGTGCGGTGGAAGCGCCACCTGGCTCTGCGTCTGCGAGGACTGCTGGCTCGCGCCTTGGACGTTTTGCGGCGGCACTGCAACGCAAGCGTCGTGGAGACACTCGCGCTTCCGCAAGTCAGCTTGGATGGGAATGTTATGTTGATCATTTCATGGAATTGAAAATGATTGAAATTGCGAATTCAAATTTTTATTGACAGCATCATTTAATAATTAAATAGTTTTGGATTGTTTGAAGTATGAGTGAAATGAGTAGGCCGGAGAGATCAACGGGCAGGCCCAGGAAGAGCGTCGGGATTTCTCGTGCAATGGAATTTCACGTTGATCATTTCATGGAATTGAGTAAGACCGATATTGGGAAATTATGATTTTCATTGATTTTCGTTGACATGATCATGTTAGATTTTAAATGTATTACCTAGGAGCAAAAGGAGTAGGACCGAAATTGAGGTATAGATTATTGATTCCATGCAATAGCTTGTCGTTCTATCGTAGTTCAGATTCGCACAGAAACTGCCGTGTAATTTAAACGCACGGGCAGGGCGGAGACAACAGCGCGCAGCCCGAAAACGAGCGTCTGGATTTTTTTGTGTCAGTGTGTCCGACACGGTGCACGACACTCCGGCAGTGCGCCTGCAGCTGCGGGAGTTGTTCCGGGGGCCCCAGTGGCTTTGCAGATTCACTTTCTGTGAAAACAATTATAAACAAACTCTGGAGCTGGAGCGCCGGCATCTGCAGCCGTGCTGACGGGCCAGCGGAGCGAGCGCTGTCGTCGAGCCTGGCGCGCTCCAGCGGAAAGTTCCGCACTGCCAGTTGAACACTGGCTGTCCCGTGGCACCTTTGAACATGCTGCAGGTCGATGTCCAGTTGGGTTTGATTTGTGTTGGCGAAGTGGAAGCTAGTTTCGTGCGGGCTCTGGTGGCTTTCAATGACAAGCAGCTGCCCAATGATGAAGCTCCAGCAAGACAACACAGCCATCTCGGCGATGCGGGTAAAGAGATCCGTCGATTGCCCGGTGTCTGGTGCCACCATGTGCCACCGAGACAAGCGTGACGCACCGGGCAAAGCTGCGGAGCGCTGGTCCGGCTTCGGCAGTCAATTGGATGTTGCGAGGCCGTGCGGGCGAAGCGCACTTGGTGGTCTTGGCCCACACGGAGGAAAATGGCGAGGGGAGTGTGCTCTGGCAAGTGCCGGTCGATGCACACCGTGTGGAAGGGGCCACACGATTTCTGATGCAGCTGTACCTGTCAGAGGTGAGTGCTCCACAGACCATCACATATGACCAGGCATGGACACCAATGAAACGACTCGCCAGCGTCGTCGAGCAAACGCCGGGAAAGACAACGATGGCGGAGGACGGGGCCTGAGTGCGTAATCCTGCGCTAGATTGACGTCTCCAGACGTACTAGCTGCACTCATTGTTGACTCAATGTGGGAAGACATGAGTGATGGCGGCCAGCGAATCTTTATTTGTCAGCTGTCCGACTCATGGTTGACTCAATGTGGGAAGACATGAGTCACGACGGCCAGCGCATCTTTTGTTAGCTGCCGGACTCATGGTTGACTCTGTGGGAAGACTGGAGTCGCGACGGCCAATTCATAAAAGCTCCTGACATGTGTAGATTTTGCCCCACTGTGGGAAGAAATGCCACAGGCCTTGTCAAGATTTTGATCACTCGCGCAAATCAAAACTGGTACGGCAGAACCGTTTGATAGTTGCTTTACTTGTTGCTTTCACACCCAGCGACATATGTGTTCTGCATTTTTGCCGCCAGGTACTTTGCCGCTCCTGCATCGTCATCGGGCCTGTGACCTTAGGGCAGGCGCGGTTTTCTTCGTAGTTCTCCGTTTGCAGTCGTCCACAAACTCTCGTAGATTTGTTGGTTTTTCTCCGTTTTGGATTATTTTCTGTTTATTTCCTGTCCTGTCCATCCCCCATGCTATTTGCAGCATTTCAACTGTATTCGCCGCATTTTTGAATTCAGACCTTTCATGTTCCATTTAATTTGCGACACTTTGATGCTATTTGCAACATTTTGGCTGCTATGCGACGTTTTTGAGTTCGAACCTCTGATCTTCCATGGTTTGCAACAGTTTGGTGCTCGAACTGTTCATGGAACATGGAAATGTTCAGTTTAGGGTTGGTTTAAAACAGTTTAAAGATTCTCTTAAGGTTTCTGCTGAGGTTGGCGTTAAGTTTTGTACACGTTGGTTTTAGAATTAGGGTTTGGTTACGATATTTTTTTTGCATGCGCTTAGGATTGCTATTTTCATCTCAATTCAATTTTTGTTTACGGTTTGTTTTTTGGTTTTTGTCGGCGTGGGTTAAAATTTAATTAGGTTTGGTTAAAGACTCGGCTTGGCTTTAGGATGCTTAGGTTTGTTTCCGATCTATGTAAGCTTGGTGTGGGAGTGTAGAAGATCCTGCTTAAATTATTTCAGGACTTACTTGGGCTTTGGTTTAGGATCTATTTGGGCCTTGTTTAAAATGTGTCTAACGTTGGTTTAAGTTCCTGTCATTTCCTTTCAATTTTCCTGGCACGGGCGCTGAACGAGGCAACAACGCCCTCTTTGGGGTCATCCGTTATTTCACCTGGTTTCGGATAGCAAAAAGGACGGGCATTCTATGCTGGGTGGTTTCCATGCCTTTTGACGAAAACGCGGGGACGCCCGTTTTGACATGCAACATGTTCTAAGTTTAACCCCATTTTTCTATCTAATTCGCATGGTTTTTCCCCATGTTTTCTACTGCTCCCTTCTTCCCATCCTTTTTCGATTGCATGTTCCTGCCCTGCTCTTTTCATTTTCCTTCCATGTTGGGTGAAATCATGTGCTGGGTACTCATGGTCTCAGTTGCCATGAAGGGAAACGCACAAAACGAGAAGTGTAACAAGTAGAATCTGCATATCACATTACATACATGTGATGATCCTCATTCATTTATCCTGAGGCCCTGCGGATCCAAACAGAAGGGATAGCCGCGCGATTTCACGCGTATCTTTTGCATGGTAGCGGAACTCTGTTCCGTTGCTGTGACAATTTTCATTGACTTGCACCTCGAGTCTTTTGGATCAGTGGTGAAACAAGTGGAACTGCACCTTGCACATTTTTTTCCAGGAAATCAGGTGAGCTGGCATAGGTCTATTTGCTTGGTATACACTGGACGACTGACAAGTGGCGGTGTGAGGTTCTTGGCGTAGGGTTCCAAGCTACAGACGCGTCGGTCTTGGGGACGTAGTCGTAGTGAAGCGCGACCTTTTCCGGGTCAACTTCATTGGGCAATCTTTGTCCTTTCGGCCGGGTCTCCTTCACGTAGATCTCCCAGCCGTCTACCTCCATCGAGACCATGACCTCTTCCATCTCCTCTTAAGAAGGATGAGGGTTGGCCTGCGATTCCTCGTTTGCGCATCTCGGCCAGGCCGAGTAACGCTTTGCATGATCACAAGCAGAACAAGTGGTAGCCGAGGGCTCCCGCCCCGGAGTAGAAACGGATCCCTTGGAGCCTGTTGTGCTCCGTGTATTCAACATAAGCACTGAACAAAAACTGAGTACTCGACACTGTTTTTTTGTTGGTCGTTTTACTGACCGTTTTCTTCACCATACCAGTATCACCCTTCTCCTTTATGGCTTTCCGCTTCTCAGGGTCACAGCGTGATCCAAGCTGTGCAATCCAGCTCCTAGGAACCAAGTCAATGATACACACAATACACACATTGCGAATTCAACAAACATGATGTGCAACTTCGATCACTTCAGTTTGAAGCCATCCTACTTGGTGGGTACCCCGTGACATCCTCAGTCCTGGATTGGGAACTTCAACATAATACAGCATGTTGTTCAAGCAGTGACAGTGAGTGCATTGTTGCAGCTTTTAGTTCCTGGAAATTGATATTTAGATGGATAAACATTGAGGTGATTTTATAAACACTATAACCCCAATTTTAGATGCATGTTTTCCATGTGTTGACCATCATATCTGTTTGTACACTTGATGAGCGAGGTTGCGTCGAGGACGCAAAGGCCACGTTTCCTGAGCGATTCCGCCTCCCTGATCATCTGGTGATTAGTCGGGATGCAACCCGCAACCGGCCATACCACGGCATCACCAGGACGATGTTCCCAACGTCGGGCTTTGCGGAAAGTTTGACAAAATCGTTCAAAGCGGCGAAGTGAGTGTTGACTCGCTCCTCCAGCATTGAGTTGGCCACCTCCCTCCAGCGCTGGGAGTAACACGCCATCTCCTGATTCAACCACTCACAGTGGATGAATCCGTGGGTGCCAGAGATATCATTTCCAGCATAGGAAATGACCACCACAGATGGGCGTGAGGTTCCCCTCCGCTTCAAGGTTTCCAAACACTGCTCCACTCCCTTTATGTCAAGGAGACCCGACCCCACCGGAGAGCGTGCCACACCGTCCCAGTCCCAGAAGGAAGGAGCTCTGGCTTTCTTTGAGATACTCGCCGACATGGCGCCTCGTGGCCGGACTGTTGTCGATGAAGTCCACCAGGGCCATCGAGGAGTCGCCTGCAAAAATGAAATTGACCCCAGGTTCCCCTGGGCATACCATACCTCTCAGCGAGAAGGATGATACTTCGTCCAAGAGACGGGCGTCCTCAGGGCTGACGTCTTTCAAGTAGCCAAAAGCCAAGTTCTCATTGCTGGCGGTGTCGGCCAGGGCGGCCGAGTCTCAAATGACATCCGACTCGTTCACAACACGGCATTGGGTCACGGTGGCGAAGATGTTGCTTGTCAACGCCGTCCATGCCTTACCGTTTGGGCCTTGAGTGTCATCAGAACTGGACGCCGCTTCCCCGGGTCGGGTTCCAGCTGCATCCGCCGCAGTGGTGTAGTCAGCCTCCTGAACCTCTGCCACGCAAAAAGCGACGCAAGTATGCCATAGTGCGATTTTGAGATGATGTGATAGAGTTTGAAGTAGACAGCGCGCAAATTAAGTGCCGTTGACGTCGAAGTTTTTGAGCTTGAAGTCCGTCATGCGATATGAGTAACTCTCCTTTTCTTTTAAACCGTTTCCCCGTCCTTGGACATGGGTGTGGTTACCATCACATGTCAATCCATCGAACTCAGCTACAGCTGTATCACAATCAGTGTGAATAGCCCATGGTTTCTTAATTGGTGTCCCTTCTTTGTCCACAATACCAACCATGCATCCATCGAACGCGACTCTCATGAGGTGATGTTTGTCACAAGACGTCTCAACCCTGTCAAACTTCCAATAGATACAACGTGCTGGCCATTCGATTGCAATTTTCGGAGTTAAATCTCGTACCAAATTATTGAAATCGACCATGGATGACCAAATTTTCTCGAATACAAGTCGGCTGTATTCCACTTTGAGTCTGGCTGATTCGTGTTGTAGGTTCACATATGACCACGTTGTCCCACCAGCGCAAGGGATGCTAATCCAAATCAAGATCGGACATGGCTGAATCTTCGGTTGTTCAATAGCCTTGATGAGTTCGTTTCTGATTTCCATCCGATTAGACCTAGATGTAACATCTCTGCCTTCTGGGCATCTGATGATATAACAATCTTTGGAATAATTTCTGGTGCGGTCACCAAGCTTTGAATCAGGCCCACAACAAAATTCAATGAGTACCCTGCTGTGAGCCGCAATAGCGGGGCAAGCAGGTTCCCCTGCGCATTTCTGGGTCGTGGACGCGCGCAGGCTTTCATCTTTGGTTGCTCCTCTCGCGGCTGTGATGAAATACCCATTAGTCGTAGCGCTGATTCCCACGTCTCGGAGTTGGTAAAGGGCTTGGTGAAGATGTCAGCAGCTTGAAGCGTCGAACCAACATAGACCAATCTGAAATGTGTTCGTTTGAATTGTTGTGACAACCATGACAAGTTCATACAAGTTCAATCTTTGTGTCAAGTCAAACTCAACATCACCAGCTTTTGTTTTCATGACAGGACAGTGTACCTTTGCCTAGCCAATCCCTGAAGGTTTACTCGGCAATCCGAATCGATCGAGCTCAACAGGTTACTTCTGGGGTTGACGTGACCTCTGGTAACTTGATTGGTGTACGGGGCATGCTCCCAGTGATCCTCTTTGGGTTCTTTTTTGATTTTTGGCACGAGGGATAGCTTTCGTTGAGTGCTATCTCCCCCCGACTGCCACAGGCAGGAGGAAGGGAATCCAACAGCGCGCAAAGCAAGATTGGCCGCCGTGACTTCAGTCTCTGCCGAAAACATAGTCGTATATAGCCGTTGAAGTCTGCTTCTTCGAAAAAGCGGTGAGTGGATAAAACGTGTTGGGCCCTACTAATGCAAGAAGACATCCACTGGTTGAACGGTTGTCATGTTCCCCAACATGATGTGAATCTGCAAATGACAAAGGTTTGCAA